GCGGCCGCGGTGACGTTGACCGCTGGGCACTTCCCAGCGGGCACTTCAATGCGAGTCAACGACTTGGGCGGGCGCGGCATCGCGGCAACGTCGGCGGTGGTAGACGCGAGGATGATAGTAGCGATGCTGGCGACGATGATGACAGCGACGACGGCAAGGGCAGTGACGGCGCCGATGCTGATCACGCCGACGACGGTGATAGCGTCCTCGCGTCGGTGATGCAGGTTGTGGAGAGAGTTCGACACGCGCGCGCGGCCGACGCGCGAAAGTGGCCCGCATGGTGTTATTTGACACGATTCGTGCCCCCCCCCCCAGCACGCGCGCAAGGGCGTGCGAATGATTCCGGCACGCGGCGCGAGAGGCCCGTTTGGCCGATTTGAATATGAACAGGTTGGAGAGCCATTTGTTTTCTTCATGTGCTATAGCAGGAGCGCGAGCGCAGGCTGTAACAAAAAAGCTGGCGCTGCAAAGCCTTCTGTTATTTTCATGCGTTTTCGGGGCGCGCGATTTCGAAATCCATGCAACAACCGAGGTTTGTTTGGGAAGGATTCCGGCGCGCGCGCGCCGTGTCATGTTTTTCGCAACGGATTCTTGCGACAGCACGCGCGCAGGGGCGTTCGAGCGATCTCGACACGCGCGCGCCAAAGGCACGTTAGGTAGCATTACATTTGTGATATAAAAATTCGTAAGAAGTCGCATGGGCGCGGGCGCAGGCGTTTTTTGCTTGAGAATGTGTGTTGCGAAACGATGTGTTTTCATGTGTTTTCGGGGCGCTCGATTTTGACACCCTTGCGATGCCCTAGGTTTTCTAAAGAATTTCGGCGAGCGCGCGCGACAACGCGCGCGTGCGCATGTCGTCCCATTTGTTGTAAGGGATTCTTGGTCGCTGATGAGTTTTGATAGCGAGTGTGCGCGCATATTGTTTTGTGCGGGAGGCGAAAGGGGGCGATGCCGTTTGAGCTGGGAAAATAAGAGTTCATGGCAAGGATGGACGAGTGTGCACAATAACTACGAAAACCCAATACGCGAAGGGGGGCTATTAAGTCCGGGGGGGAGGGGGGAGAGTCAGGCTAGGTTCGCACGCGTCATACCTCACGTCCTACTCCTCCCTCTCATCCTTTACCCTGGCGTAGATGTCTACTCTATTCGCACAATCGGATGTCGCAGCATGGCAAAACATTACATGGCGTAGCATGGTGTCGAAGATCAACGCGTAGCATGACATAGCATGGCGCGGCGACGCCCCAAGGTGGGGGGGGGCTTCCGCGGCCCAAAAAATAAACGAATCGACACCGAATGTGGAATCATTTCCGATGGTTTTGTTGGGGGCCATTTTCCAGATTTGGGGCCCTATTTGGGAGGTCCGAAAACCATGTCGTGGCATGGCGCTGGAAATAATGACGCCAGCGCTGCAGCGGGAGCACGATCCGGAACGAGCGGCAGCGCGGAAATGTGGCCATCGCTGCAGCGGGAGCACGGTCCGGAACGAACGGTAATTCGGTAATCCGAACATCCAAGCCAGCGCTTCAGCGAGAGCAGCATTTTGAAAAAGAACAAAACGAAAACCCAACTCCGGGGAATCCTGTGTATAAAAAGCCAGTACGCGGAGGGGGCCGGACATTCCCCGGACGCCACCAGAGGAAAGAGGAGAGTAGTATTCATATTGCGTACGTAGTTGTATATATATACCAAAGAAAACGAAAATCGATGTTGAGCCATCTATCTGGCGCAGCACATGAGATGCAACCTACGGTGCGTATTACATGTTGTGCAACCCTTGCTGTGCAACATTCGTTGCGCAACATCGGTTGTGCAGTTAATGATTTGCTTTTTACAAACGAGTTGACACATTCCATGCTCTTACAAACATCACACCCACCCACCCGCAACTGGGTTTGTACAACCCATGCGGTGGCGATTGCGATGAGTGCTTGGCGTTGGCTGGTGCATCTCTGCGGCCGCGCCAACCCAAGCACGCGCGCGCGCAGCGGCCAGCTAGTTTTGCGCGGCCGACGCGGCCGCGGCGGCGCTGACCCATGGGCGCGTCCCAGCGGGCACTTCAGTACGAGTCGGCGATTTAGCGGGCGCGGCACCATGGCAATGCCGACAACTGTAGACACGATGCTGATAGTTTCGATGCTGGTGACGATGTTGACAACGACGACGGCGCGGCTAGTGCGGGCGCCTATGCTGATCACGCCGACGGCGATGACGGCGTCTTCGCGTCGGTGATGCAGGTTTTGGAAAAAGTTCGACATGCGCGCGCGCCCGACGCGCGAGAGTGGCCCGCATAGTATTACTTAACACGGGTCGTGCCCCCCAAGCACGCGCGTTAGGCCGTGCGAGTGATTTCGGCATGCGGCGCCAGAGGCCCGTTTGGCAGAATTTCATGGTAATGCTGACAGCCATGGATTTCCCACAGAGGATTCCTGAGGGAGTCTTAGGGCTTCATCCAGATATCTTGAGGATTCCAGTGGGGGCCTGACGATTCCTGAAGAAGCCCGACGGAGTCACACGGGAACCGTCATGATCCCGGAGGGTTTCTCCGGGAACATGGATGATTCTTGAAGGAGTCCAGGAGACGGGTGGAAAGAGCGGCGTGAAGGATCGGGATTGGGCCCGTCGGATTTCGCAAGCGGTTGTCAATCATTCGGTCAGACGACTCGACGGGGCGACACACGGCAGTAGGGCCGGGCGGGTTGGGGGGCAGGCTGCTTGAGACTGTCTGTCCTGGCGCGCCCGCTCTGCTCAGCAACCTCAGGAGGCCGCCACCCCACGCAAAAGCCGAAGCCAGTGGACGGCACATCATTAGTCCTCGAGGCAGCTCAGGGCACGCATGCCCAGATGCATTTCCGCTTCGCGCGAATGTCCCAGCGGGCAACGTCAAGGGAAGATCAGCTTCGGGGGGGAGCATCGACCCCCGATCGTTCATTCATTCATCACCGATGGGAGCCTGATAGCCGCCACTCCGTCCCCGCAAAGAATGTGCGGTTTCGTTATCAAGGCCCTACCGCCGATTTCAAGTCAATATTTCTTCCCTCAGCCAGTGCCCCCAATCGTCCCCCATCATTTTGTCCTGGAGGCCCCCCGCCACGAACACGCCCTCGGGCAGTATGCTGGCTATCTATGAGCTTCTCGGGCCGCAGTAAGAGGAGGAGGAGGCGGAGGAGGAGGAGTCACGTCTTCCTCGTCCCTTCGTGGCTCCTCCCTTCGCCTTCCCTCCGTTTCCTCATCATCTCCCAGGCGGGGATGTCTCATAACCACCGTTTGGGGATCGATCTTAGGGCGCCGCGGCAGGCGATGGGTAAGTGTCTATTCGGGCTTTGCCGGGGGGAGGGCACGAATATTCGTATCCACCGCTTGCCAGGGTCCCCGAAGATCGATCCTCCAGGCGGTGGGTATGGATGAGTCCAGGCCTCGCATCGTCTCATCGTCCTCCCTCCACATCTTGGTCCACTTCGCACTCCCATTCTTCTTGTCGCCCTTACGCTCAACTTGGCTTAACGTGTCGCGCCGCCAGTTCTGGCCCACCACGCTTCGGCGCGACACGCTAACCACGTCCGGGTCCTCAGGCGTCAACGTCGTGTGTTTCTCCCGAGCTTCCCGCCCCGCGGAGCCCAGCGACACGCGATCCACTTGCAAGGCATAGCCTGTGGCCGGGGCCGCCGCCGCGGCACGGTAAGCAAAAGTTCCCGACCATATTCTCCTTCTCACGGCGACCCCGTGCCAGTGCGAAGCCTACGCACTCCGCCCGTCAGTGGTCGAGAGACTGAGACCCTGCCGTTCGTGGTGCTGAGATGATCTGAGCGCTTGGGCTTCTCCTGCACCGACATCCTCACCGGGCAGAGAGGCTCGGGCATTGCGAGAATGCACACCCAGACAAGTCGACTGAGGAAATCTGCACTGGTTCACTCGACATGGGCATTCGAGTGCGCTGGTGCAGTCCCTGGTCGGCTTCCCTAATCGACGCGCGTTTCACCGAATAGATTCGGTTGTTTTTGGAAGTCGGTTAGCTACCCCGCTGTGGTCCACTTTGAATGCGATGCCGTGCGCGCGTACAGTGCCCCTTGCATAATTGTCGCGGTGCCCTGTCAATCTCCGAGAGGCTGGCCCCCGGACAATCGCTCCTCTGAGTCGTGTTGGCCTGGGTGGTATGTGCGTCTGGAGGGCTCGCCTTGCTCCTTTTTACAGTTGCACGCTATGAATACGATTGTCCTCTCTCCACCAACTATTTCCAGAAGGGATACCGGCCTCTCCGTGTAATGATTTTGCAAGCGGGTCTTCATGGTGTGGTTTATGTCATATGTTTTCACAGTCAGCGATTTCGATGTTTCAAGACAGCGTTCCAGTTGCAGCTTTAACCTCAATTCATGATCGGCGCTTTGCTCCTGTCGTTCAGAAATGTGCTCTCGCCCAAGCGTGGGCCACATTTCTAAATCCGAGTCCTTCGTCGTTTTCGCCGCCCTCCTTTCTCCTTTCCCCTCCTCCTCCGCCTGGACCTGGTCATCCTGCTCCTCCCGCTCCTCCTGATCCTGCTCCTGCTGCTGCTCATCCTCCTGCTCATCCATCACCGCTTCCTCCGATGTACCCAGCTCCCTTGTCTGATTGCGCATGACACGACGGGAGCAGTTGGGAGACTCCAGGGCGCTATGGCACCCGTCGGCGGGTAGAGAAAAATAGCGCAATGGGAAGGGATGGGTGAGAGAGGTAGGATGTCAGATATGGCGCGAGCACGCCTAGCTCATCTTCCTACCCCTCTTCCTCCCCCCTCGCTTGTATCAGCAGGGTTTGGCTGGGCCCCTGATTCCCGATAGTCTTATTCTCTGGAAGGGATACTGACCCGTACTTCCCCTCGCTACGGTTGGGACGCTCTTCAACAGAGAAGTGAGTCGTGTTGTATTCTGTTGTCGTCGTCATTCGCGTTCACCCACCCTTCTTCGTTTCTGTCTTGGCTCGAGGGGAAGAGGGGGCGCTGGCCAGCCACAAGTGCGTGGGCAGCAATGGTAGTTTCCGCACGGCTACGACCTCGCACGGGGCAGCAGCCAGGTTCCGCGCCTGCCGCTGCATTGGCAATCGTTGTGGCCGCGTGTTGCCAGCTCGTGACCGCGGAGGTCACCATCAAGGTGGCAGGAGACCCTTTTTGATCCCCTGGCGCTGGATAACGGGCGTGACTGGGAGGGGAGGGGGAGGAGGGGGGGGAGGGGGCACGGTGACGCCATGGTTTGCGGCGGCGCCGATTGGGAATGCCCAGGCATGGCTCATTTTCAGACGGCGCCGGCGCGAATCGTGACGTGACCAGGGGGGAGGAGGGGGGAGGTAGGGGGCGTGGCCGGTAACGGGCGTTATCACCAGTTATTTAAACCTTGGCTCCAGGGTCTGCCAGCCTCTCCCACTCCGACAACAGCGTGGTCGCCAGGGCGTACAGGCAGGGGGCGCTTCTCGTCGCCCTCAAAATCAACTCCACCCGCAGGTTCAAATACGAGAGCGGGGAGGAGCTAATCGTGGATTTAACGATCGAGGACGACGAGGGCCTCGACGTAAACGTGGATCGAATCTACAGGAGGCTGAGTGACGATTCAGACATCGACCTCCTTCTCGGACCGTATTCCTCGGTCCTGTCCGCGGTTGCCGCCATTCAGGCTGGTCAGGTTCCGAAGTTCATCATGCTTGCCGGGGCTGCGTCGCCCGAGTTCTTCAAATCTGAAAACGATCAGATCTTCGGCGTGGACAAGTTCACAACAAACGTCCTCGCACCCAACTACTTTCATGATGCGCTGAACATCGCGAAGGACAGGAGCGCCCAGAGCGTTGCATTTTTGCACGACGGCGACACCCTGTTCGCTGGGCCCATGTGCGACGGTGCGGTGGAGTATGCCCACGGTATCGGCCTCCATGTGCTGGAGTCGAGGGTCAAAGAGGAGCAGATCGTGGAGCAGGTGAACCACCTTAAAGCTCTAGGTGCGGACGTGCTTGTCGGTTGCGGGGACTTCGACAAGGTGGTGGACATCGTGGTGTCCGCACGGGCTCTGGGCTACAATCCGCATGGCATCATCCTCCCTTTCGCGGCATCCGACAAGTTCCTTGCCACAGTGGGAGCGCCAAACGGAAACTACATCCTCTCTCCCGCCCCGTGGGTGCCGGCGATTGACCAGGAGTGCACCCTGTTCGGGTCCACGAGTAAGTTCGTGCAGGAGCCTCCTTATGCTTCTTCTCCTGCTCCTCCAGGACGCATTTCAAGCAGCGTGTGGAGACATACCTCTATTGCTCTTGGTATGGGGTTCTCCTGTTCATCTTGCTCCTCCTCCTCCTCGTCCTTCTCCTCCTCTGTCGCAGACATCGTTTTGCCCAATGACTGCCGTGGCGCTGAGCTTGAGTGTCAAATGCGATGGACGCTTGCGACCACCGTGCTCTCCAAGGTGGTTCAGCCGCCCCAAAGCCATACATCTGGCACCAAGTCTCAGAGCACCCCAAGCTTCGGAGGGGGTTCCTTATGATCAACTGTGATTCGTCTTGGATATCTCCATGGGCGTTGGTCCATCGGCACAGGGGCTCTCGTCCTTGATCCACGTTCGTGTGGCCATGTTTCGGTTGTATCACTTCAGGCCCTCCTCCGCCGCAGGAGTACAGGGCGATGTGGGGCGAAGAGCCGCTGTACCAGAGCGCGGAGGCGGGCGCCGGCATCCTGGCGGCGCTGGCCGCGGTGCACCGGCTGCACGTTAACAGTGACCCTCCGCCAGAGTGACCTCTGGTGCGCGGCTTTCGGGAGTGGCGCAGAGGGGAGGGGGGCCAAAGCAAAGCAAAGCAGCCCGCCGATACCGCATCGCCCGCTAATGGTCGGCACGCCGCGCCAACACACTCTTGCGTGTTAGCCGAGGTGGAGCTTGCTGGCAGCGCGTCGACTCCGGCGGTGACCAGCGCGATGCTCGAGATCGATCTGCCCACGTTCTATGGGCGCCTGGCCTTCTTCGCGAACGGCTCCCGCCGGGACGCGCCGATGTACACCCAGCAGGTTCGGAGGAGGGCCAGCTGAGACAACGGCGGCCATCCCGCCTGGCAAGAGCCCGCTCAAAGTCTGTCCCTGGACCCCTCGCGGGGCCCATCCCTGCTCGTTTTCGGAGGCGGGTCCAGCCGTGGCGACGAGAAGGCTCCGGGAGCCCCAGGAAGGAAGAAAAGCTCCAGGGATGGCCGCCGTCGTCGCGTCTTCAGCGGTTTGAGATCTACTTTCCGTCATCTGGGACGCCTGTCCTGGAGCGGCCAGAGAGTTTGTTCTCCGACGTGCCACCGTAGAGGTGTGTGTGTGTGTGTGTGTACAGCTTTATAATATAAACAAATACGACCCTCCCCTCCCAGGGGTCCCACACATCCCTGTGACATCTGCATTACGCTCCCGGTACCGCGCTTCCTGGCCTCCCGGGGAGCTCCAAAATGCCCAAGGACAGCCCAAGACGACCCCAAGAAGCCCCCAGAATGTAAAAGCACGGCCCAAGACGCTCCCAAGCAACCCAAGATAGCTTTCGGGCGGCCCTCCAGGCTCCCAGGAGGCCTCCAAGAGACCTTAAGAGAGCTCCGACAGGCCTCCCGAGATCGCCCAGAGAACCTAACATCGTTAATTGTTATTGTTTAAAAGTTTCTGGCCTTATCACCGTTTTATGCTTCCAAGGCTCCAACACGGCCGAAGAGGCCCCCAAGACCGCCCCAAAACCGCACAAGAGGCTCCCAAGACGGCCCCAAGACAGGCTAAGAAGGCCCCAGACTGCCGTAGAGGCGCCCAGGACAGCTCCAGACCACCCCAGAACAGGCCCAAGATGAGCCCAAGAGCGGGAGCAGGAGGCCTCCAGGGACCTCTGAGAGGACTCCGGACCCCCCCGGAGGCCCCCAACACACCTCAGACCCCTGAGAGGCCCCAAGAAAGCCCCGACGAGGCCCCGTTAATTTCCAATGTTTTTTTTGTTTTACGTTTTTCGCCTTCTCACGTTTTCCCGCTTCCAACGCTCAAAGACCGAGAAACTAGAAAAACAAAAATCCAGAGATTCCTTTTTCTTTTCAAGTTCAACACATACGCCCCCCTCCAGAGGGTACCACACCTCCATGAAACATCAGCAGAACGCTCCCGGTACCGCGCGTTCCGTCCCCAGGGGCCCCCAAAAACGCCCAAGGACAACCCAAGACGACCCCAAGAAGCTTCCAGAACGTAAAACAACGGCCAAAGACGCTCCCAAGCAACCCCAAATAGCCTTCAGGGCCTTCGGTCGGCTCTCCAGGCCCCCAGAAAGCCTGCAAGAGACTTCAAGAGAGCTCGGGAGGCCTCCCGAGAGCGCCCGGAGAACCTAAAATCGTTAAGTTTCATCTTTGTTTGGGGCGTGGTTTTTGGCCTTCTCACTTTTGTATGTTTCCAACGCTCCAACACGGCCGAAGAGCCTTCTAAGACCACCCCAAGACCGCCCAAGACCGCCCCAAGACGGGCCAAGGAGGCCTCAAGACTGCCTAAGAGGGGCCCAGGACAGCCCCAGACCTTTCGGAACAGTCCCAAGATGGCGCCAAGAGCGGGAGCATGAGGCCTCCAGAGACCTCCGAGGGGCCTCTGGAAGGGGCGGCACGAGCGTGGATTGGCCTCTCGATTCGGTCGGCCAGTCTAGTGAGTTCAAAAAAAAAGCCCCGACGAGGCCCCAAACACAGCCCAAGAGAGCTTCGAGAGCCGTCCCGAGAGAGCCCGAAAAGGGTAAACTAGTTGATTTCCGTTGTTTTTGTTCTACGTTTTTCGCCTTCTCACGTTTCCCCGCTTCCAACGCTCAAAGACAGGAATTTGACAAAAAGGGAATTCCAGAGATCCTTTTTTTTTAAGTTGGGACTCCTACTCCCTATCATCTTCCTCGAGCCCCATCAAGACTTCGGGGTCACATGCAAATGCTGTTCGGGAATATTGTTGAACTCTCTGACGCTGTCTTGGCACTCTCTTCGATCGTCTTCGCGTCCTTTTGGCTGTCCCTGAAAGCACCGTAGAAATCGAGATCCCATGATCCCATGAGTTGGTCTTTTTTTTTCAAACTCATCCCCTGCTTATTTTTGCACGAAGACCTCGAGAGGCATCCCAACAGACCTTGGCCTGCATCCAGAAAACTTCTAACCCACAGCCCAGGCACGGCAACTTGAAAAAAAGGAAATCCCACAATTTTTTGTTCCAAGCTCGCCCCCCCTTGTCTACTCTTGCACAAGACATCACAAGTAAGGCCCCCCTCAGCTCCCAGAAAAGAAACCAGGAAGCTTTGAAAGGCTCCAAATCGTTGAATGCCTGAGGGACATGTTATGATTTCCGCGTTTCCGCAGTTTCCCTCCTGTACGGTTCCGAGGCTTGCGCAGGGCCTCCAAGAGAGTCCCTGGATGCAAGAAACGGCAATCATGATATTTCATGAGTTAGCCCATCAAGCCTAGCTAAAACTTGAGCGCGCGCGAAGCGCGCCATGGTTATATATACACACATATATAGATACATGTGTATATATACATATATATATATGTGCATACATACATACATGCATGCATGCATGCAAACATATATACACATGTATGCATGCCTGTATGCATTCATCCATGCATAGATGCATACATACATATACCTATACGACCGCCCTGCGGGCGATAAGGAGGTTTGGGGGGGGGGGATTGAGATCAAATGCCCACCCTGACTGACCTCCAGCCTGTCACCTTGATCTCATCTCTCTCTTTCTCCCTGTCTCTCTCTCTCTCTCACGCCCTCTCTCTCTCTCGCTCCCTCCCTCTCTATCAGAGTCTCCCTCCACCACAATGATCATCGCGATGACGAAAGCCCGCCGCAGGCGCCGACAAACATGAATTGATGGATTGGGTTGGGTGGATTGGATTGGATGGGATAAGATGGATTGGATCAGATAAGATAGGTTGGATTGGGAGAGATGGATTGGATAGGATAAGATGGATTGGATTGGCCCGCAGGCGCAGCAACAAATGAATTGATGGATTGGGTTGGTTGGATTGGATTGGGTGGGATAAGATAAGGTGGGATCATACGGGTTGGATAATATAATATGGATTGGATTGGACAAGATGGACTGGATAAGACAAGCTGGATTTGATGAGAAAGCCCCCCGCAGGCGCCGACAAACATGAATTGATGGATTGGGTTGGGTGGATCGGATTGGATGGGGTAAGATGGATTGGATAAGAGAAGATGGGATGGATTGGAAGAAATGGATTGGATAATATAACATAGATTGGATTGGCCCGCCGCAGGCGCAGAAACAAATGAATTGATGGATTGGGTTGGGTGGATTGGATTTGGTGGGATAAGATAAGATGGGACAAGATGGGTTGTATAAGATAAGATGGATTGGATTGGACAAAATGGATTGGATACAATATGCTGGATTGCAAAACAAAGCCCGCCGCAGGCGCCGAAACAAATGAATTATGAAATTAGCGACATGCGTCAGCGCCGGGACGCCCGGGACACCCGGGACACCGCCCGGCCCAACCGGGACACCTCCCCGCCACTGGCGGACGGGAAACGGACTTTCGCTCCTACTGACACCCGGGACACCCGGGACACTGCCCGGCCCAACTGGGACACCTCCCAGCCACAGGCGGACGGGAACGGACTTTCGCTCCTACTTCGGCCTAACTACAGGAGGATCACGCGCAGCTTCGCCCCGCCCGCACGCACGACACGAACACGAAACCGAAACCGATTTCCCGGTGGGGGGTCTCCGTTTCACTGCGATCTCACCCCCCAACTTCCGATACATATATCAATATGTGTGTATATATATATATATACATATTTATTTGTATATGTATGTAAGATTGAGTAGGAGGCCCAGGGCCCTAAAGCCGGGGGCCTCGACCACCCATGGTGGGACCAGGACCCCTGGACCCCCTCCGGGACCTCCTGGGCCCCCCTGTCTGCCCCAAAGGTGGCCCGACAGGCCCTCCAAACGGCCCAAGACGACCTAAGAGGCCCCAAAGACGGCCCTCGAGAGTTTTAAGATGGTTTCGCAGAGACCTCAGATGGCCAAAAACGTTCCAAGGGGGGCTCCAGATGGATTCACGACGGCGCAACAGGCCCCGAAGACGCCCCGAGAGGCCCCAAGACGACCCCCACGAAGCAAAAGTCGTTCCATTCCTTTTGAGAAGCGTATATTTTTAGCAGATTCGCTTGTTTGGTTTCGAGGGTGTCCAAACCGGCCCAAGAAGCCCCCAAGATCGCCCCACGACGGCCCAGGAGGTCCCCAAGAGAGCCCCAAACCAGCCCAAGAGAGCCCCAAGACGGCCCCAGAGAGCCCCATGACGGCCGAAGAGCGGCCTCAGAGGGGCCCAAAAGGTGCTCAACAGGCCCCGAAAGAGCCACAGGAGACCCCCAAGATGGCCCAAGAGGACCCTAAGAGAACCCCAAGGTGGCCCTGGCCACCCAAGACTGCCCAAGAGCACTCCAGGGCGGTCTGTGAGGACCTCAGACGAGCCCGCAAAGGCCACAAGAAGGCCCCAAGAGAGCCGCCAGGGGCCCCAAGATCGCCCGCAGACTGCCCGCGACGCCCCAAGAAAGACAGTTTCGGACAGGCCCTTCAGACGGCAGAATTCATCGCCCAACATGCCCAAGAGGCGCTCCAAATGTGTGACTTGGCGGACTCGACCCTGTCGCACGACCGAATTGCTGGGTTTGCCCTGCCCTGGCATGCGCTCAGCGTCACGCTCGCCCGGGGGGGCGAGGAACCAGGAGCTTGGTTTTAGGCGTCTGGCCATTTTCGTGGCCCGTCGCCTGGCGATGGGGCGGGCCATTCGTGGCCCGTCCCGTCGCCCGCGACACCTCGCCTCCTCCCAGGGTGTCCCGAGGCGCCCCCACAGCCGCGAGACGCGGTCAAGGGGGGGTGCCCGGGGGGCGTCCAAAGTTGAAGCAGTGGTTTCCCGAGGTGCCCCCCCTGGCCGCGAGCCGCGGTCATCAAGGAGGGGAACCCCGGGGGCGCTCAAGGTTGAAGCCGC